AAAAAAAAGTTTCTACTCAGAAAAAAAAAGATTTTGGATATTGTTGGTTTTCTTTTGGTGACTTGATTCAAAGTCATTTGAGAACTTTTAAAGTTCCCTTTTTTAACTGCTGACAAAAACATGGATTTTTTTATACTGGATAAAATAAATGAAATTGTATTCACAGAAATTAGTGGAAATTAAGTGGGGCCTCTAGTTTGGAAAGTAGTTATAATACAGAAGAATATATATTTAAAAATAAATGTTAATTATAAAGTAGGTTAAAAAATATCCATTGTAAAAACAACTGTGTGGTTAATCTGGAACATTCATTCTTATGTCAATAAAGAGAAGTACCTTAATAAAAAGACTTACCGGGCAGACATTCTTGTGATGTGTGTATATGTGGGGGTTCTTTTTCTTGTTGTTCTTATTGTTGGCTTTTTGAAGCAGGGTCTCACTGTGCAGTTCAGGCTAATCTTAAACTCATTTTGTAGCACAAGCTGGTCTTGAACTCAGTGATCCTCTGTCAGCCATTGAAGTGCTGAGACTACAGGCATGTGCCACTGTGCCCAGCATTTGTATGTGTGGCTTCCAAGTCCTCACTGTTAAAGGGGGGGCTGTCACCAGTGTATACTTTGGTAATGTTCAGAAATAAATGGCACATGGGGCCTGGGAAGTGGCTTACTGGAATAAACGCTTCCCTGGCAAGTGCAAGGGCCTGAGTTCAGTCCCTGGTTCCACCAAAAACAAGGAAAGAAAGAAAAAAAGAGACAGACAGACAGACAGAAAGAAAGAAAGGGCACACTAATGAGGATGGCTTCCAGGATTGTCATGTGTCCACAGCTTTCCCTAAGCACATCCAGCCAAGAGTGACAGGCCTGAATAGTACAATGAAACAAGCACCTCTCCAAAGAAAATTACGTGCTTTGGAAGAACACCTATAGAAAAAATAGTAAAATGAAAAAAAAAAAAAAAATTACATGACATAGGCAAACAAGATTTTTCTTTTTGGGCAGGTAATTTAGTCCTGGATCAGTCTAGAGCACTTATGGTCAACCTTTTAGGGCCTTCAAAGGTAATAAACAGCAGGTGTGACATGTTTGCTATAGGTTTGCCACTAGTAGTCTAGAGATTCATAAACTTGAATGTTTCTTGGGAAAAAAAATTACCTGGAAATTAAAAACTATTTTGTGCATTGAGCATATAGCTCAGCAGTATAGCGCCTGCCTGGCAAGCACAAGGTCCTGAGTTTGAGTGCCAGTACCAAAAAAAAAAGACGTGAAAACCATTTTATGTTTTTGAGACAGGCTCTCACTGTGTAGCCCAGGATGGTCTCAAACTGACCCTCCCCAGTATTCTGCCTAAACCTCACTAATGTTCAGATTACAGACTACAATAGTGAGGTTCCTGCCTGTATGAGGCAGAACAGTTAGATGGAGAGTCACCTCCCACCATGAGTACCTATCCCAAGAGTCCCCAGCCCATCTGTGTTGTATCCATGCACTTCTAAGTACCACGTTTTACTGATGATTTTGTGTGTGTGTGTGTGTGTGTGTGTGTGTGTGTGTGTGTGTGTGTGTGTTAGTACTCAACCCAGGACCTTTGCAGTTGACTTACATACTGTCTTTTTTAAAAATTTTTAGACAGGGTCTTGGCTAAGTTCTCCAGGATGGGCTCAAAATTGTGATCCTCCTGCCTTGACCACCCAGAGTTGTAGGATTTCAGGCAAGCCACAGGACCAGTTTACTGATGTACTATGGTGGGAGGTGACTCCCCATCCAAGTGTTACACACCTCACACAGGCAAAAACTTCACCATCTGTAGACTGCATGCAATCTCCCCAGTTTACAGGATCCATTCCACAAAAATAGTAATTAAGAGAAGTGACTATAGGGGTTAGTATGATACAGGCCCATTTTCTCAGTTTAAGATGGCTTACATCTAATTGAGTATGGTGGCACATGCCTGTAATCCAACACTGGAGAAGCTAAAGCAGGAGTTTGGCCTCGAGTTGAGGCCAGCCTGGGCTACAGAGTGAGTCCAGCATGAACTATGTGGTGAGACTCTGTCTCAAAGAAAAATAAATATGAGTTACTTGTGCAAAATCCTGTGGGGCAGACACTCCCAAACTCCAGCTTGAGTAAGGTCACTCACTGGAGGAAAGGTGGGGCAGGACCTTGAAATAAAGTTGGCCAACCCAAAATCCGCCTTCGCACCAAGCTGCCGCTCCAAGGGTCTCTTGGTGCTCGCATCTTTTCCCGTCCCGTCGCTCGCGCCCAAGCTTTGGAAACTACATTTCCCGGCACCCCTTCCGGAGGAAGCCGACCGGCGCCCTCTTCCGGCTTTAGCTTCACGTTTGCGCCGCGAGTTGCGCCCTGCCCGGCTTTTCCCAGTTCTCTTCAGGCGCTGCCTCTTACCTGACTACGTTTCCCAGCAACGTTCGCGGTGGGGCGGGGTGGACGGGAAGCGGCAGCCTCCAGCGGGGGTGGTGGCCCTAGACTGGAGAGGCTGCCGCCTCCAGCGACCCATCCGACCGGCCGCGGTCTCCGTTATGCCGCTGCTCGTGGACGGGCGGCGAGTGCGGCTGCCGCAGTCAGCCGGAGAGCTAGTTCGAGCGCACCCATCTCTGGAGGTGAGTGAGTTCAAGGCAGGGGCTTCGGGGCCCGCCCGAGGGAACCTGCCAGGGGCTGCGAGCTCTGTTTTCTCCGCCACCGTTGCTCTCGCCCTTCCCTCTGCGAGTTTAAACTTGGGACGTCCGGAACCTGGCTCTGACCAGGCTCCACTCCTAAGTGTTTTCACTTAGGGATCCACGAAGCTTTTACCTTCTTTAGATCTTGGAGGGCATCTGTTGAGCTCCCTCTTTTACAGAAGCGGGCACGGGGCCGCAGTGTTAAGTGACTTGCCCAAGGTCGCAGGGCGCTGCAGCTCGAGGATTCATCGGGACCCTGTTCTCCGGCGGTGCCTGAATTCCGGAGGTGCTTGCTTAGGCAAATCTGGGTGCCCGCCTTTGCTCACGGGCACGCGCAGGGGACCCTTTCCCCTGTTTGTGGTGAGCGTTGCGTGCTCCCTGGGTTCTCAGGACGCAGGCGTCGCCCGAGAGTGGGCTGCGAGCAGAGTTTAGGCAGAGGTGTCCTGGCGGGGTCCACTAGTTCTTTTCCTCTTATCCTATTCTCGGAGCATAGAGCACCTGGTTATTTTTAGCCCAAAGAAAGGGCTCTGCTTTCCCTCAGCTGGGCCTGGTAGGGACCGCGCCCTGATGGAAAGGAGTGGGGTGTCTTTGTTTTTCCTGCTTTTATCTCTGACTAGTTAGTTGTCTGAAACCTTAGTCCCTGCTCACGCACGGAATATTGGGAACGGGGTCGGTGGTGTAAAAGACACTGTGGACCGAACATCCCACGTGCCACAGTGAAGGGGAGTTAGCCTATCCTACTGATTAAAGAGATCGTTGTTGACGTCCTAATATGTGTTGGTCACCAGTACTAACCACAGTCCCAACTCTAAGTATGGTAACAGTCTAGCTAGCAGAGTTGTTTTTTTTTTTTTTTTTTAATCACAGAAATGGCCCAAATACAGTGTTAAGTGCCATAAAGAAATAGTGTCCCCTTTCAATCTGATGGAAAGCAGATGAACGGGAGGAGTCTGAGTGTACGGGTTTAGGCTGTAGCAGCTGTACAAGTTTGTTCTTTAGTTTGTTGTTTCGTCTGCTTCCATGTTTTCGTTTGTTTTCTCCTTGATCTGA